ATATGTGGGGTTTTTTCTAGTTTATACACTTTGCTACTCTACATAAACAATATCCAACAAGGATTCTGCAGTTAGACTTTCAGGGAATTCACTATAGAATTTGACAGTCTCTTTTCCATATGTAGCATGGAAAACTTTTTCACACTGTATCTGTAGCAACTTTCTTTAATGGATTCCTCTTTGAGCTTCCTAAAATAGTTTTACAAAAACTGTCCTTTGTAGAATGATTTATTTTCATGCTCTGAACCAAAATAGAGCAAGATTATATCCAGTGTTTTGACAGTCTTGTGTTTGCAATCAGTTTGACTTCCTTTCTGATTCACTGCCAAGGTTCTGTCGGATCCTTATTAGAGACCTGCCTTACATATTTGAATTCAGCCAGTTGGCTCACATAGACAGAAGAGACGCTATTTATCACGCCACCCTTCAAGACCCATGTATCTGAAGTAGTTAGCATTTACACGGGAATCTGAATCCTCAAGAATTGGCTGCTCATCAAAAACTGTTGTGTTCTTTCCCAATGGTGATAGCATCATGAAAGAAATTGTGTTAAATATTGTACTGATGTCCTATAAACAAAAAAAAATCAATTTAATGACCCTGTCCTCAGATTTAAATAGAGCAGTACTTCTTAGGCTATCTGTTGTGGGCGACTGACAATGATGTATATCCAGTATGCCAGGGACCATTGTTATATTTGTGCCTAATGGCTACAACTGTGTTTTTTTTCCCTTTCCTATAAATTCACCACAGACAAGCAGCCAAGTATTCACGAACCACCATTTTGAGCAGCACTGATATAAAGCACAGCAGCTCTCTTCTGGGAACATTTCAGTTGTGCCAGTAAAACATTTGAAGCTTTAAGTATATGGATTCAAGACAATAAACATATATATGAGATAAAAATCAATGCTGTTGGGAATCTTAAGAAAATAAAAACCACCACAACAATGTATTGTCGAAGGCTTTCATGGCCGGAATCACTCAGTTCTTGTGGGTTTTTTCGGGCTATATGGCCATGTTCTAGAGGCATTTCTCCTGACGTTTCGCCTGCATCTATGGCAAGCTTCCTCAGAGGTCTGCTGGAGCTGGGAAAAAAGGGGTTTATATATCTGTGGAATGACCAGGGTGAGACAAAAGGCTTTTGTAAGTTGGGCTAGGTGTGAATCTTTTCAACTGACCACCTTGATTAGCATACAATGGGCTGACAGTGCCTGGAGCAAACTCTTCTTGAAAGGTGATTAGATGTCCCTGCCTGTTTTTCTCTCTGCTGTTTTAATTTTAGAATTTTTTAATACTGGTAGCCAGATTTTGTTCATTTTCATGGTTTCTTCCTTTCTGTTGAAATTGTCCACATGTTTGTGGATTTCAATGGCTTCTGTGTGTAGTCTGACATGGTAGTTGTGAGAGTAGACCTCACCTCTGAGGGAGCTTGCCATAGATGCAGGCGAAACGTCAGGAGAAATGCCTCTAGAACATGGCCATATAGCCCGAAAAAACCCACAAGAACCACCACAACAGTTTGCAATGAACGTAACCAGAAGAGGAAATACCAAGGTATACTTCATATCCTTCTATGAATTGAAACTATTATCATATAAACAGATCTTGTCCCTTTATTAAATGCTCCCTTCAGATTTAATTGCAGAATTTGACTAAGGCATCCCCTCAGCTTCCTATTTTCAGTGCCTCTAATGCCTTTTAGCCTCTGCACATTCAATGAGTTCTCTGTTCCTGTCATTTCAACAAATATTTATATCTGTTAAAGTCTGAATTTGTGTATATTTAAAGATGAAAATAATACACCAACAGATGTCCTCTATAAACACAATGAGAAATCACATTTTAGATGATGGTTCAGTATATTATGGTCTGTACTCAGCTAGGATCTTACTGAAATGAGAAATCACATTTGCTCCTCTGCATGTGTACCTGTGGCATGGTCAGCTAAACTGTAATGAAGGCCACAATGTGTCTGATCAGGTTTTTGTAGTTTTGTCAGGGAAATGAATTTGATTCCTTGGAACAGATAAAAAAAACATACAGGTTTCCAGAAATTGGACTACAACTCCCACCCTCCCTCAACCTTGCCAGAGCTGGCTGGAATTAATGGAAGTTGCAATACAGCAATACTTGTAAGGACACACAATCTCAGTTTAGTTTCCTGACTCCTATGGCTCCCAGAACGCCTCAGCAAGCACATCCAAGGCATACCGCTGCCTGGGGCTGCTGGGAGTCATCCAGAGGCGCTTTCTTGCACCTCGGGATGACGACTCCCAGCAACCCTGGACGCGCCGTGCCTTGGATGTGCTTGCTGAGGCATTCTGAAAGGAGAGCAGGGAGAGTAGCGGGGCCCGCAGGGAAAGCCCAGCAGGTCATCACCCCCAGCCTGTCTCTGTGGCAATGCAGCCTGCAACTCCTCCTCCCCATGCCCTCCCTCCCTCCCTCCGCCCTCCTCCTCAGGCTGTGCCACTAAGGGAGATTTTATTCTTTTCTTTTAATTATTATTTTAATTTATACCCGGCGTACTAGAGGCCCCCCCCATTTTTCATAGGATTTTCCAGGCTTAAAAACTCGTCTAGTACACCAGAAAATATGGTAGTTTTTATGTCTTGTCACAGGCAAAAATGTAGTCTGGAGGTGTCTTTCAATGTCAAGCAATGAGAATAACGTGGCTTTCTTAACACATTCCCATCCACTTTACAGCCTTGACATACTTCTGTGCAATTTCTTTTGGTTCCCCAAACTCAAAACCCACTTCAAATGACACCAATGTGGGACAGTTGAAAAGGTCCAGACAACTGTGACAAGGGTTTTGAACATCTCAAGTGAAGATTTCCTCCACTGCAAGAGTGGCAGTAAGGCAGGAATTACTGTATTCGATCACAAGGAGCCTATTTTGAAGGCGACAAACTGAAATTGCATATATGTTCTATTTTTAAAAAAAACCTTCCGAAGTCATTCACATTTCTTTTGGGATGGATAACATATGGATCCATTTCTCACTGTTAGAGTACCAAATACGGAGAAGTATTGGTTGTGTAAGTCTCCAGCAGCAGACTTCCTTCCAGAACAAAGGTGGTTCAGAATATCCTAGCTCTCTGAGAAGACCCAAGAAGGGAATTTAACATTTTGGGCCTTTAAAATGTAAATTCTGAAAGCAAGATAAAAATATAGATTCCTGCTTTAAACATGGGGATATGCCATAGATTCCTCTTTTAGTCATCCAGAGAACACACGTTTACACAGTCATTTTTGTATTTTTATTTTAATCTGAAATCTTCACCCCCTGCCCAGATTTCTAACCTTTCTGTGTAATAAAAGGTTATGTTTAGAACATGCAAGGAATGTCACATCCACAACTATAATATTTTAATTAATATATTGAACATACAGTTGAATTTCAAGAGTAACAAAATTAAACTATATGCATAAGTTATTCACAGTTTTGGAACAATAAAACAGGCTTGAAATGATTAAAAAGGCAAAATGTTCATCTTGTCACAGCTGCTTAACACATTGTGTAGGTAGAGAAACTACTTCCCATCAGTAGCCAGCATTAACCTCTGGAAAAGTGAGCTTTTAGAGAAAGTGCAAATACATTTTCCTGCTGAGTTTAAACATGTAAAAGTACATGGCAGGGCATAACCCACAATATCTGATTTTGACTATCCTGACAGGAACTTTAAAAGAAATTCCAGTTACATTGCTTGTCGTGAGATAAGGCGACCTTTAATGACAACATGCAAAATGGCTGTGTTCTAAAAAGTTAGTGCAGATGTCACTATGAGTCTAGTACATTTATAATTTGGATGCTGAAATAAATGAGATTTCCTCTACTTCCTGTGTCATCGAAGTGGCATAAATATATTTCTGATATAACAAATAAAACTGCACACTTGTCATTAATGATGACAAATATATCAAAGATTTCGTATCTCTAAATCATGTTATAATGGGATGTAACATTTGAAAGACCTAGTATAGTCTGCTATGCTTCCTTCATCTGAGAATATGAGTTCAAATTTGTGGATTACAAGACACACCGATTTCCTTGGAGAAAGAACTCCCACATAGCTATAGAGTAGATATACTCATAATTATCGATATTCTTTTACTATTGTCTCCTCACATAACAGCTCCTTCTATAAACACTCTGAGTAATCACTTGTATTTTTGATTACACTGAATGAGTTTGTAAGTAGCATTGATGAATATACATTGGAATCTCTACCAGGAATTTCAAACAAGAAATTCTGATTTAAACAACTAGCCGGCAACTTCATCCAGACCTCCCTTTACTCAGTCCAATTTATATATTTGTGTCTAACTGAGGAGGGAATTGAACTTCTGGCATACAAGGGGAAGCAGGAGAGGGCAAAAGGTATAGTTCAAACGGTTGTTAGATCCAGACTTTATATTTAGTACAGGTATGCTGAAATAAATGTGAATTAAGTTATTAATGACTAAACTTCAATAACTCTACCTCGGCAGTGGGAACTGTGTGATTTTGCAGATATTGCTGAACTACAAGTCCCAGTAGCTCTAGCCAGCATAGCCAATAGTGATGAATATTGGAAGTTGCAGTTAAGTATATGGAAGGCTACATAATTTCTCTCCCTAGTCTGATGTATGAATAAATCTGGATCTACCCTATGTACTTCTGCATCTCCATTTTATCTGAAGAGAGATTAAATGTTGAATCAGGGCTCAGAGATCAAGTTTATAAGTCTAGACGGTACCCAGATTTATGTGTATTTACCATTCTATTCAAGATTTGGATCTTACAAGTTACTCTATTTTTAATATCTCTTACATTATCCTTAAGAATTATGACTAGCTTAATACACTGCCGTTAAGAGGGACTTAAGTGCCACAACACAATGCAGTTACTAATCTTTAGAGAAGCTTTTAGTGTTTTGCTTTTTAAACTTATTGAAGTAGCTTTTCCGCAGTACTCATTAACTAGTGATTGAATGCACATTCTGAAGGATCTGTCCTACACACCAGGCATTACCTTATGAGTTGGAGGAATCACTAAATACGTTTGGCAACATTCCTAGTATTGAATAAATTGAAGGTACGGCAGAGAGCCAAATACTTCATTTTTTGTATTCCTCTCTTGCCTTGAGATGAAGAAGCAATTCTAAAACTGTGTTTCAAGGTCCCTCACTAAGTAAAATATTTATGTGATGGCATTAAAGGAACAATGTTGGGGTGAAAAAACAACAACAAATTACTTGGTTTTACAAACTCACAACTGAATTGCATAGCTCACTTTTTTGGAGCAGATTTTTTGTGTGTGTCTTGAAGTGAGGCAATACCAATTTAGAGTTCCAAGGTAGTTACAAAATGTTTCTATGTGCAAACTTAAGACTCATTTCCAGGGGAGAGAGCTTCAAACACAGAAGAGTTGTGTGCTATTTTGCTTTCACTGATAAGCAAGAGGGTCATCTCTTGCAGGTAAGAAACCTGCATGGCTGCATCGGAGTTCCTATACTTATAGCAAAATAAATATGTAAAGGAATCTACACCTTGACTGTTCCTTGAGTCTTAAGTCAAAACGAGATATAAAATCATCAACAGAAAAATCAACAAGCGTTACCCTTGCTACATAGTATATGGTTCATTCTTCAGTGTTCATCCCAGTGCAATTCCAGATTCTGAATGTTTCAATAATAAGTGTCTTATCGGAGTCCTGACCAGCTGTGTAAATATGATGCCCAGCCAGATGGCTGCGATGTGCTCTCTTCTTCACCTTTACAAAAGACCAAGAAAACAAAGAGAGTTGAAAGCATGATCTGACTAATCAGTGCATCCCATATAACGTAATCAGAGGTGTCAAATTTGTGGCCCTCCAGATATTTGGGCCTACATCTCCCAGAAGCCCTAGCCAGCTTGTCCAATTGTCAGTAATTCTGGGAGCTGAAGTCCAAAACGCCTGGAGGGCCACAAGTTTGACACCACTGCCTTAAAGGACTAAATCTGTCTTGAATTGTAGGCATTGCATATGAAAGGCGTGAGTATTTCTGTAGGAGCATTCTTGCAAAATCACCAAGCAATTCATACCATGTGGCCCTACAGGTGATAAAAAGTTAAAGGTTTCCCCCGGCATTAAGTCTAGTTGTGTCTTGACTCTTGGGGGGGGGGGGGGGGGGGGGGGGGGGGAGTGGTGGTGGTGGTGGTGGTCATCTCCATTTCTAAGCCAAAGAGCCAGCGTTGTCCATAGGTGCCTCTAAGGTCATGTGGCTAGCATGACTGCATAGAGCACCATTACCTTCTCGCAGGAGCGGTACCTATTGATCTACCCACATTTGCATGTTTTTGAACTGCTAGGTTGGCAGAAGCTGGGCCTAACAGTGGAAGCTCACCCCGCTTCCGGGATTTGAACTGCCAACCTTTCGGTCAGTAAATTCAGCAGCTCAGCGGTAGAACACACTGCACCACCAGAGGGCCCTACAGGTGATACTGGACTAAATTTTTCATCACTGATTAACTGGTTAGGGTTGATGGGACCTAGAGTTTAGCAACATACGGAATACTACAAGCCAACTGTTTCAGATTTTCAACAAGTAAACAAAGATTTTTACATTTAAAATCATGTTCAATGCTTCAGTACACATGTACTCAGTGTTAATGCACCTTGTTTTGGATGATAAAAATTGTCATGGCACAAAGGGTTAAAGGTTTTTGGTTTCAACATTAGCTTTTGAATAAACTCTCCCCCCACCCCCTCTATTTCTTGAAACTTGTCTTTCTTTTCAATCTATCCCATCACTTCCCTTTCTCTGCAGCCACTCCAGTTATCTTTCTCTGATAAGAGAGGTAGCAAAATAGCTTGATGTACCTTGAGCAATCGCAACAAGTTTTCCTTTCTCTTCAGGACTCAACTGCAACATGGTGTCTATGACAGGAAGAAGCCTCTCTCTTTCACTGCCAGACTTTAGAAATATAAATTGTAAGAGGACATTCTTCAAATATTCCAGATTGGCAACAGACTTCTCTCGTTCTTGGTTTCTTTCTAAACGCCTTATTTCACTTTTAAGAAGCTGAAGATGAAAACCAAAGAAAAACAATTACAGCTGGATGCAAATATGCCGATAAAGGCACAAGAAAACAAAACATGCAGAGTTCTGCACAAGACAAAAAATCGGTAGTAGTGAACTGAACATTGCACAAAACTAACTAGAATTAGTCTATTCACATGACTGAATTCCATCGGAGAATACAATGTGAATATAGTATTATGAAATTGACCTTTAACAAATAATGGGGGAAGTCAATATGAATGAGGATAGTGCTACTCAAAGTGGTGGTTTATGGATCAGTGTCAGCCTATGAACCAACAGTTGCTGGTTTCTGGAGAACTCTCAAAGAAGACGACAACAATTGTCAATGGATACAAATATGGCACCGGTCCCTCACACACTCCGAAAAAAAAAAAGCCAGATCACCAAATCAAGTAGCTTTAAGAAGCCCTGAATTGGGCAAATGTTCCAGAAAGTGGCTCCAATAGTTAAAATATATACAATCTAATCCAACAATATCCAGAAGGGGAAAGAGTAAGCAGATCCCAAAAAGGTACTTTTAGCAAACTACTTCATGAACAGAATTGAAATTTCCTGAGTGCTTATGTCTGGTTTGAGGTACTTTATATCAGATGGCAGGGCCTAAGTATTTTTGGGTTTTGTTTGCTTTTATTAGTGAGACATCAACCTCTGCGAAGTGCAGGGGTTTGACCTCTTCCTTCCCTCTTCAAGGCTTCATCTTCTGCCCCTTTTTCTCTTCTGCTCATTTACATTTATTTATTTGCCTTGGCTGTGCCTGGCCTCCATTCCTTGTAAAGTGCAGAGCTGATCATGTGACACTGACTCCTGCAGGAACATATGAGCAAGCATACAAAGGAGGACAATATGATATTTATGTGCTTTGAAGAGAAGAAAGATTATAACACATGGGAAGAAGAAATGCATCATGTTTACAAGATAACAGTAGCAAGTTTTTCGAAAATGGTAGAGAGCATCTGAAAAACACATACCATAACTTTGGAAAGCACATAACTACTAACCTTTATTTGTTCCATTAGAATTACATTGGTAGCTTCTGATTCACGAAGCAGTCCATTTAAATGATCAGCACTCTTTGATGTGGTATTTAATTTCTGGATCAATTGTTCTTTTGTGAGCTCTGCTTCCCATTGTGGAGGTTCTAAAATTGTTTACAAAAAGGTCAAATTTAATGGAAGGACTATTTCAGAACTTAAACAAACAAATCATACAGTCAAAAGCTTTCATGGCCAGAAGCACTGGGTTGTTGTGAGTTTTCTGGGCTGTATGGCCATGTTCTAGAAGCATTCTCTCTTGACATTTCGGCCACATCTACGGCAGGCATCCTCAGAGGTTGAGGGGTCTGTTGGAAACTAGGCAAGTCGGGTTTACATATCTGTGGAATGTCCAGGGTGGGAGAAAGAACTTTTGTCTGCTGATGGTAAGTCTGAATGTTGCAATTGGCCACCTTGATAAGCATTGAATGGCCTTGCAGCTTCAAAGCCTGACTGCTTCCTGCCCGGGAAATCCTTTGTTGTGCATGTTAGCTGGCCCTGATTGTTTCTTGTCAGGAATTCCCCTGTTTTCTGAGTGTTGTTCTTTATTTACTGTCCTGATTTTAAAGTTTTTTTTAATACTGGTAGACAAATTTTGTTCATTTTCATGGTTTCCTCCTTTCCGTTGACCAATACTTTAAAAAGTCCCATGTATTTCGCATTTCAATTCTGTGACCAATTTACAGAACTTATTTATGAATAATTATTTTCATTATTTTCTTCTTCATGATTGTTCTAGCTGATGTTGTTGTCTCAATTATTTTAAAAGCAATTTAACTTTTACAGATGCCAAGAAATAATCTATCAGTGATTTACGAGTTGCAGACATGAATAAAAGATTTGGCAGCTTCATCATGCACTGGACCTTTTGAGAACTGAGGAGATATTTCTTAACATCCTTGCCTATTCCAATACCTCTTTTAGCTTATGATCCGATAAAGAAGCCCTGCCATTTGAGGGGCTAACATCTGGCTACACTGTTAACAATTTTGAAGTTAACTTCATTCTCCTCCTAGATCTTCAAATGCACAAACACTCAGAAGAAAAGTGGCAAGTGACCTGTGGCCCTTCAGACATTGTTGTACTACAGCTCATAGCATTACATTTAATAGCTATACCAATTGGAGCAGATTGGAGTTGTAGCCAAAAAACATTTGAAGGACCACAAGCTGCCTCATTGCACCTGACATCAGAATGGTAGCTTAGTTAAGGAAGTCTTAACCTCTCATTGTTTTTTTTTTCTGAAACTCAGTGTGACCCACAGATTTAGACAAAAACATCTCAGCTCTATACATCATTGGCTCATACTATGAACTCTTTGAGAGCTATTTCAAGGAAAGTAATTTTAGTGTCACACTAGAGCTTAAAGAGTAGGCCAAGAGTATGTATCCCATCTGAAATCCTGTGGTTGCCTCCTGCAGAATTCTGGGACTTGTCGTTTAGTGAGACCCAGGGCCTCTATGGCTGAGTATTTTAAAGGCTCCTCTTCTAAACGACAGTCTCCAGAATTCTGCAGGAAGGAGGCAGCCATGAGATTCCAGATGGGATACATAAACTTTGCCTATTCTTTCAGCTCTAATGTGATACCAGCCTCGGAAAGTATACAGAAAAAGACCTCAGGAGGTATCAAAACTGAAACCTTAACCATCAGGCAAGGCCAATTTTATATTAGACCAGGCAAAAACCACAACTGCACGCATGCCCATATGAAAAATATTCCTTACCAAATTTTGTTTCTGGGGTATTAAGCAGCTGTTCTAAGGATGGTATATGGGTACTGGCAGAAGATACAGACTCTGTATCAGTCATTTCCATTCCTTCACCCTCCTCCCTAGCAACTGTATGGACGTCAAGTAGAGGAAGGTCGGCACTCTTTCGTTCTCGCAGGCTCTTTGCTGGTAGGCTAGAAGCAGCAGGGCCTGAAAGGCAAACCACTAGTTTATAACTCCATTATACAAGAAGAGAATTAAAAGTTAAAGATTTCCCTTGACATTAAGTCTAGTCGTGTCTGACTCTGGGGGTATGGTGCTCATCTCCATTTCTAAGCCAAAAAGCCGACATTGTCCGTAGACATCTCCTAGTTCATGTGGCCAGCATGACTGCATGGAGCGCTGTTACCTTCCCACATAAGCGATACCTATTGATCTACTCATATTTGCATGTTTTCAAACTGCTAAGTCGGCAGAAGCTAGGGCTAACAGCAGGAGCTCACCCCATGTTTGAACCGCCAACCTTTTGGTCAGGAAGTTCAGCAGCTTAACTTTCTGTGCCACCAGGGGGTCCATTAAGAGGACAATTAATGTATATGATTATACAAGTAAAATTCACAAGTCCAAAAATTATGAAAATACTCCCTAATTTAATGCTGAATTCATAATTCACCTGAAAAGAAGCTAGGTACAAAAGCCAACTATGCAGGTAGTTATGGGAGAACTTTCCTACCCTCCTTCAGTCCTCCATGCCATCTGATAATTAAGACTAGGGGCTTCCCCTGTCCTCCTCTGGGTTGCATTGGCTTCAGGTGTTCTGCCACCATTGCATAGTATTCTAAGACCTTCAATGTGTGTGTTTAAAATAAATAGAGTCTTAAGCAGACCTGAGATAAGTGAGAACAGTTGCCAAGTGGCCTAAGCTGAATATTACTTCTTCAATGAACAATGGGAGAAGCTTACTTTTTGTGCTTGGCTCACTTTTGAGTTGAAAGAGCTGGGCTTCTACTTTGGACAGCTGCTGTTGTAATGTCTCCACTGTCTTCCGATGGTCTTCTTGTAGATGTCTGACTTGGTCACGGAAGCTGTTTCTAAGAGCTTCATTTTGGGCTGTTAGCTGGCTCACAATCTGCCCATGTTCTGACTTCATCACCATGTTTTCAGACTGGATGGTGCAGAGCCTAGAATAATCCCCCACAGCCCAGGTTTCCGCATTAGAAAACAAAACAAAAAACCCAATACCATGAAAAATCAAGAGACTATGGAGGTAGAAACCTTTAAAGTTACCACTGTCAGCCTAGGAAGATATCAAGAACGTTTTGTAAAATCTGCAGTACTCATGGCATGGTAACTCTGACCCTTAAAGATTAAATGACCCATTCACATGCAGAATTTGAGAGTCAAATGTCAATTAGAAGCACAATAGTATGATTTGAACAATACAGGAACATACTTTTCTCGGAGTTCTGCTTCTTTTGCCACAGTTTCCTGAAGAATTTTGTTGTGTCTTTCCAGCAGGGTGTCATGTTCAGACTGTAGCGCCTGCAGCTCAGTTAAGTTCATTTGTAGGTTTTGCTGAGTGTCTTGCAATTTGATCTTTAATTGGTCTATTACCTTTTCCATATGTTCTCTGAAAGAAAGAATCCCCAGAAGGCACTGAATCTTTTGGTGTAACATTAATAGGCCACAAAAACACATTATTCTGTATTTATTTCATCAGATTTAGTTATGTGCCACTGAATGGTATAAAAATATAAGAGAATTATAGACTATAAAAGGTGGATCTGTCAATATTGTATGTAGGCACGAAAGAGGTAGTGAAAAGTACATGGGTGGGTATGATGTGGTTCTCCAAATGGTATTGGATGGCAATTGACAGAAGCCCTGCACAGATTGGCCAATGATGATGAATGCTCAAAGTAGTAAACAGTATGCATTATTCCTGTCCCACTCTAAATCGTAGTTCAAGGTGAGTGTCAGATGTTATACTGAACAGAAAACAGAGATAAAGACCTCTTATTCTACGGTGTATACACAGGAAGCGGAAAGAAAAGCAGGCAATTATGCATTACATTCAAACCAGGCCAACAATGACATCTAGGATAACAATGGTGCTCTACTTTGTACAGTACTCCTTGGCTTCACTACACCAGGTCTTCAGGCAACATGAACCATGAAGTCTTGATTTTTGCAGTGTAATTTTCATTCAAAAAGGCACTGACCAAGCTGACCAACAATGCAATGATTACCTTTCTTGCTTTGTCACGTCCGTGTCAGAGTGGGAACTTTTGTTCTTCTGTTTCAAAACGTTATGTACACGGACTTTGTAGTTCTCAAATTCAGATGTAACAGCAGCATGTTCTGCCTGCAATGACACAAGGGAAAAGTAGTGTATCAATGATCATCATAGACACACGGGATGACCTCTCTGTAAAGAAAGTGAGATAGTAATGTTGAACACAGGTTAGATGTTGGCATTTTACTTCTTGATACGCATCCTTCCTTACAGTCCCATTCTAGCAAGTAATTGGGACTGGTTTGAGAGGTACACAACTTCAGGTGTGTAAAAATTACCCATGGCTCAAATGTTTTAAGTGCTAGGGAGAATTTCCCAATTTTAGTTGCAACTGTAACTAAGTCGATTTAGAGTTCTGCCAACAATTGTTCTACTGTTTACAAAAAATACCTTTGTTGCACTGCACTCTTCTTGGAGAGCCGCCAATTTCTGCTGGTAAGTATTCAGTACCCGCTGATGTTGATCCAGTGAAGTCCGCAGATGTTCTTGAATTCTGTGTTTTTCTGAAGTAATCTCAGCCAACTGAATCTATAAAAGAAAACTTATTTGAATATGTTTACAATTTAGTAGTGGATTAGTACTTCTCATGGAAAGAAGAGCAACTTCAGCTGTTCCTTCACATTTGTGGGGAACAGGGGCCAAAGACCCCCAGGAAATGGAAAGAGCACAAATATTTTCTCTCCCCAAATCATACTTAACATACACAAAAAGTACTGAGGTGTAATTATCATCTTTTTACACCAAAGAAAGGGACAAAATTCTATTATTGTTTTTCTGATTTAGATCAGTGTTATTAAAAGCAAATGGCTGGTTATATACAAATATTTCAAAGGAACAATAAATAGATTACATTCTATTTGGCTATTTGAATATCCGGCCTTTAGGATATGCAACTGGAATTCACACTAGACTCCCAATATCTAGACAAGGAGAAGAAGCTTCATACATAAAACAGAATGTTTTGCCCTGTACTCTTGTAAGAAGCACAGCAGTAGTGAAATGACCACGCATGTGGAGAATGGGGATTCCTAGTTCTCTGTGAAAATTCTGTTTTCAATGTGATTTTATTTTCACTTAATTGTCTATATTAGGGATAGTGCAGTAAATCAAAAGACAACACAATATAAACAAAAGACAATATAAAATCCAAAGCACGTACCTAATTTATTCCAACAAAAATCAACAGGACTTAATAATTTGGTTGAGACGTCTTCACAATTTCAGCAGTGGTTACAGATCTGTGTTCTATACATGTTTGGTCTCCTTGTTTTCTAAATCTGGAGCTTCAATTTCTTTCATCACAACAAAACCAACTTATATTCTATGCAATACTCATGGCACAAAAATGTATGAATGGACACATTATTCACCATTATCAACAGAATTTGCCATTTAAAAAGTTAGCTGAGAATGAATTCATAAAAAGAAATCACTATAATGACACAAAAATTCTAAATCCTTTTTGGCAAATATTCAAAAATTAAGACTATTGAGTTCAGAAGGTCTTATTTATATAAAAAAACCCACCAAAAAAAACAGCTGAGTCTAGACTGCAGCCTATTCAATATTCAGTATTTAATAATTTCAGTGCAACTTAAACAAAAATAAGAGCAGGATAACATCTGTAAAATGTGTGAAGCAGATGATACTTTTGGCTAAGAATTACTTTTGGGTATAATTATTTTAGGGCCCCTGGTGGCACAGCGGGTTAAACCGCTGAGCTGCTGAACTTGCTAACTGAAAACATTGGCAGTTTGAATCCAGGGAGTGGGGTAAGCTTCCACTGTTAACTCCACCTTCTGCCAAACTAGCAGTTTGTGAATAGGTCAATAGTTACCGCTTTTGCGGGGAGGTAACCGCGCTCCATGCAGTCATGTTGGCCTAGGAGGTGCCTTTGGACATCTCTGGCTCTTCAGCTTAGAAATGGAGATGAGCACCACCCCCCAGGGTTGGGCACAACTAGACTTAATGTCAGGGAAAACCTTTACCTTTTATCTATGACAATAATAAGTACCTTCAGCTACTATTCTGCCAAATATAATTATGTTTTTCCCCCACAAAACCAAAAAGAAAATATTGCCTTACCTTATAAACTTCCACTTGCTGCTGACTTGCTTCCAGTTCTCCCTTTAATGATGCTTGAAGCCTCAGAAGTTCATTTTCCTAAAACAAAAGAGTTATCTTGATTAATTTATCATAATACTGCAGGAGACAACAATGTAACTACATTATTATTACTACTCTACCCAAAGAAATAAAAGCAGAACACATAGTAAAAGTTCCAAAACTTACTGCTTGCTTTGAATCTGCCAACTCTTTTTTTGTCTTCACCAGAAGCTGCTTGATTTTGGCATTCTTTTCCTCATATACTTGTACAGTACTCTGAAATGATTCTATACAACAAAAGAGTGATAAGAATAATTTAGGTACTGAGTTAGAAATAGGAATGTTATGAAACATTTCCAAAATATTTTTTATTTTCCCCATAGTCTGCAAGTTGAGTAAAGGACACAAATAATTAAGGTGAAATTATTCCAGAAAGTTGAAACAATTATTTTTCATTTTAATGGGGTTTTTTATCTGATAAAAACATATTCCAAATTCAGTGGAAAACTTGGAAAAATACCTTTTTCATATCCTTAAACCAGGGGTTTTACTGAACATAAATGGGATCAAGAATTTATCCACAAGGCATTTGGATAATTTATTAAATATCTATTATCTAATAAGCTTCTTAAAATCTTTGGAACAAAATTCCCACCAATGGTATAGCTTGAGACTTCATTTTTACAGTAAACTAGTTTATAGCTTGTTTCTACTTTGTAGGATACATATTAAGTTATCTTGCTATAGTGAAAAATATATCAAACTATCTTTAGACAAAAAGAGGTAATATCTCACTCACTGATTTCTTCATGTAAAGTTTCTTGCTTCTGTTTTTGGATTTTAATCTCTTGCTCAAGGTCTTCAATTCTGCTGCTTTTGTCAGTAATTTTCTGATTAAGTTCTTTTACAAAACGTTCATAGTCAGCTATTTCCATGTCCATCAGTGTACTTTTCTGAGCATCCTGTACATTATAAAATTCAACGTAACATTTCCATACAATATATACAACTGGCAGATAATCCAGTAAACCTAATTCTACTGTTTTGGAATTACTGAGAGATATTTCTGCTGTATCTCAATTGAGCATTCTATATATTTTCCAGGTGAATCACAGTATATGATTCTTTATTTGACACAAGAACAAATAAATCCAGAAACTTAGTTAAATGAGAACTCATACAGCTGGCCCTCTGTAATTACAAATGTTTTATCCATAGATTCAACCATCCCTGGCTGGATTTTTTTTTAAAAAAATCCAAAAAGCGAACCTTAATTTTGCCATTTTATATAAAGGACACCATTTTACTGCGCCGTTGTTTTTAATGGGCCTTGAGCATCCATGTATTTTGGTATCCATGAGGGATCCTCAAATCACACCCAGCAGGCAGCAAGGGACCACTGTATATAAACCAAAACAGGGTAATAGAGAAGTAATCAAGACTTCACTATACCTTCTTTGCCAATTCCAGCTCTTCTAACACTTTCTGAAGATGCTTCTTTTCTTTTTGGAGTTGTACTTGGAGTTCTTCAACTTCTTTTGCAGCATTAGCATGGTCCTGAAAAAAAGAGTTTTAAGTATTCCTCATTTAGAAAAAAAATCCCCTCACCTATATTATATTATTAATTTTTGCTTTCATAAAAAGTCTGGTTACCTTTATTTTTTGTTCTTTTAGAAGTTTTTCAGCTTCAAGTTCTTTATCAACTTTTGCTTTGGCTCTCTGTGTTTCTAACAGCTGGCTTTCTAACATTTTGGTGTTTGTCTGTAGAGTCTCGATTCGAGTCAAGAGATCTTCATTAGCAGAGCAATACTGGTCTTGCTAAAATGACAGTGGCAAACATATATACAAATATAATTATGAAAGGGCCATTTTGCATATTGGAGTTGCTGCCTAGATATCATTTGCAAAACATCTCTAGCTTTTACAACTTTTTCTGTCAATGATAAATTTCTCTTGAGGAGATTGTGTGCAGACTTATTAAGTTAGAATTGGGGATGGGTAGAACCAGAACCAAAAGTGAGTGGGGTACCAATCTTTTAACCACCATTTATAAATACACTATGATTCCGGGACATACATCCAGCAAAACATGTCCTTCAGGTGATTCTATGGTATTTTTCTGCAATAAGTTAGCAAAGAGTCACCCTGGAGGACCTCCTAGCAAATTCCAAAAGACAGCAGTTCTTTAGGCTTTCACTTTTCACCATTCTACCTGGGAGAGGAAATGGTTCCTTTTTAACTAACACTTAAGGTATAGTATTTATATTTACCCATGGATAAGTCAACCCAGATTTTTAGGCATGAATTTTTTACTACATTTTTTAGACATACACAGGGGTCCGATTTCCAGAAATGCAGAATCCCATTAATGACACATTATAGGCAATTCCATAAGCATCTAATCAGTTATTCCACTGAAAGTTGAGGACTCCTACTGGAAGCGCTGTGACTGTCCATGCTGATTGGGTCCAAACAGGTAGCCCTTGCAAGCTCTGGGTATCACAATTCTCCTCCCAACATCTGTCTTACACCAACTTCACCCATGAAATCCTCTCCTATCAGTGACTACAACTAAGTAGAAAGGCACAGAAAGGCAGTATCTCTCAACAACAACAGAGGAACACTACTGCCCTTATGCCCTGCAGTAAGATTTTCAGAAGTCCATTGTAATATATTTTAAATAAGCAGTACCTGCTGAGTTGAATTCTCCAGCTGTCTTGTAAGGTCATCAATTTGCTTTTCAAAATTTCGAACTCGCTCTTTTTCAAAATCCAGTTGTTCTGCTTGTTTGTCAAACTCTAGTAAAAGATTCTGGGAACACAGATAAATCCTTTTCAAATTACAGAAAACACACAGATGCATATAATTTATTGTGCACATCAGTTATGAAGTATATACCGTATTTCTTCGACTGTATGATGTCATCGTTTCTAAGATGCACACGAATTTCAGTACCACCAACATCTCTCTCTCTCTCTCTCTCTCTCTCTCTATATATATATATATATATATCACCCACAATTATAAGACACACCCCGCTTTTAGAGATGTTTATATGCAAAGAATGTATCATAGAATAAAAGAAAAACAGCATCTATTTTTGTTTATTACAAACACTAGAACTACATCACTCAAAGCATACCTATTTATTCCCAGACAATTAAATGATTTCCCTTTAAATTCTTTTGAAAAGTCTGCATCAATTTATTTGATGTCAACTGTATTATTGCACTGTACATGAAAATACCTACAGTGATTACACGAATGCCGAGCAAGCAGACATTCTGCTTGTACAATGAAGTGTTTGATTTCTTTCTCACTGGGGCAGAAACAGCTACCCCATCGTACTTCCCATCTTTCAAGTATTAATATATCACTAAGAGTTGCTTGTAACAATTTAAATCTTCCAAGTTGCACTCCAAGACAAAGCTATGGTGCTTTTAAAAAGTTGCTGCTCATCTTAAAAGGGATAAAAACACATGGAGACATTTCTGTTAGCCCATCACAGGAAAAGTGCAGTTGTCTCAGTAATCCTGCAGTGGCTAACTGAGCTTTACTTGGCTCTTTATGCTTCCCCTCTGCTTTCTCCAATCGCTTTAGTGAGAAAAGATCTTGGGGACAGAAAGTCAGTTCATTTTGCAATTGCCTTATTGAAACACACCAATAGAAACAACCTGGAACTCTGTATGACATTTCTGTGAACTAAACGCAATTCTCAAGGAGATTATAACAATTTAAGAGACACCAAGCACAATAATCCAAGTGGCAGAGAAGTAGAATACTTATTTGTGTGGCGGGCAACCTACTTTAACAACATTTATCATTCCTATCCCCACCCACATTTTTTGACAAAGCACAATCTACAGCAAGAGAGCCTCCCCCATATAATTCCAAAGCAACTTTGAAAACAGATACAAGCAATCCCAATGAATGCTGACATTCCACTTTCTTTCATGCATCTGATCAAGTATTTCAAAAATATGAAGCATCCAGGAATGAAAAAAGCACCTGTATTTCACCTTATAGCTCTCGGCTCCTTGAATAATGTCTCCCATCGAGTTAGATAGTTGCTCTTTTTCCAACAGTGACGATGTCAGTTCTTCTTTCAATGTCTGCACCTAAGTGCATAGAGAGATATAAGGCTGTTAATGACAATGGTTGAATCAAAAATAATATTCCATTAATGCAGGGGATTTTTTATGAGCTCCCGCTTCTTTCATAACCTCACTCTACTGTTCCACAATTTTTTCCAACACTCCTGTGCAAATGTGCATAGACTGCAGGGGAATTATAACTCCTTTCCATGATAAACTTTAATCATGAAACTTCAAATCTAATGCTTTAACAATATTAACATCACAATAGATTTAAGAAACCTATGTGCTATGACACTATCATCTCTACTAATGTCTGGTTGCTGATGACACGACAAATAAAAATAAATCTCTACTAAAATGCATTCTGAATACACAGATACTGGAATAATCTGAATACTTTCACAAAATAATTTGACTACAAAGCAGTCCATGTGGCTGTCAGTCTATGTCATCTTCATTTCTGACTGCATTACATAGCTACACTGTTACAGAGTATGCTTAATTGTTACAGGAAACAATTATCTCTAAAATCTCTAGAAGCCTAGTTGTCTAAGCCTTTTTGAATTGTCCCAAGACTGTAAAGGAAGTCAATGTGAACAGGAGAGAAATGCTGTGTGAAGAAAGGTGCTCTTGATGAACAGCAGAGATAGAAATATTTTAAACATTGCTGATCAATTTGCCCTGATTTCAAGATTTGTCTTTTATCATTTTCACAGGGTTCTTATACAAAAGGATGAAGCCTTGTAATGCAGCTCTGTAAAACTAAAAGCAAAAAAGTTATGGAAAATGCATTAAGGATCACCACTATATTGGTGCATATCTCGAGATCTTCATACAACCTGATCCTGGAATATTGCTTAAGCTTTGGATGTGACCAAAAAATCATAGAAATTTAAGAGATAAAACTATCATAAGACACTCCTACACTGCTGGGGACAAAATAGGATAATTCAAATCATCCCAAAATCTAACAGATCTATGCAGTCCCGGAATCAGCTTATTAGTATTTTATTGCGAATGATCAAGGGTGGTTTAAATTACCTCTTTCCTGCTAGATTCCAATTCTTTCCTTAACTTCAGAGCAACTGCTTTAATTTTATTTAATTTTTCTTCCTTCTCTTTTAGTTGCTTTTCCAAATGCTCTACAACAACAAACAAAATGCACTTTAAAATGTTATGGCACATTATTTTTGTCAGAAAAAAAATCACTTTATTAACATATATTAGTTTGATTACTGTGAATGTGTTCTTCTTTCTCATGGCAGAGGGACAGTCAAGAGTCAGTAAACAAATGCTACTCAACTCTATTGCTCCAAGGCACTGGATTTGGCCGATGCTGCACATGTGGTGAAATGATGTCTGGATTTGACTGGGGCCAAGACATAGTGGTTAAATTCCTTAAATAAATTGTGGACCTATGGTTAAATTGTTCTCATTCCCGTTCTAGAAAGATGAAGCTTGTATTTTTGGAGGAAAGTCTTTGATCCAACCTTGCCACTTAAGGTCCAGGAGTGAACTTAGCAGCTAGAAGCACCTTTTCATGGCACTAATCATTTACCAGTTACTCAATAAGACAACTGAAATCTAACTCCACTAGTTCAAATGAAACTGTATTGTTTACTTCTTTGTCAACTCAATTCAAAGTGTCAGAGAACTTTTTTTAGTGTTCTAAATTGCTTTACACATAAAAGAAGCACCTGTTCCTCTATCAGCCTATCTAAGCATGATCCAAGGATGATTTGCTTCAAGATTTATTGATTAATAGAAAGAGCTTTCTCTGTCATGGTACCTTCAAATGTGGAACACTTTCCTTTTATAGAGATGATGTTCCATTTTGTTTGTCTATGTATTTTTAAACTGATTTGTCATACACTGGGTCATAGGTCTAATTATGTTTACTGTCTTTCACTGCTGCTATCATTTTTTGCATTTTTAAAAAATTAATACTTCCTATATTGTCTTTAAATGTGGCCCAGAAGTCCACTCTGTATTTTATCACTTTTCCTCTGATGCTACCTGAGCAACTATTCAATTTGGAGAAGCCAAGAGAGACAGTGAATGCAGAAGTGCTTTGCTACCTCTTGCTGACAGAAAAATCAAGCTGTATAAAATCTTATCAGGCCGTCTAAAAGTAGATTTAAAAAATTCAAATAAAGTTACAAAGTGAGCAATAAAATAAAACAAAAGAATAACAAACTTCAACAAAGCACTTAAGCTGTTTTCAACATTGTTTCAACAGTAATGTTATGATATACAAAGGTGACAGATGTCCACTACAGAACATTTACATAATAAAACTGGGGAAAAGTCATTAAAGAAGAATTACCTATTTTTTGTGTCCCTGACGACTGTTGGTCAGCATTAGCAGAAGAGTCTTCCACAGAACCCTACATTATAAACCAAAGAAATGAGAAGGCCAGTTGTGTTCTTACTTTAATATATAATAACATTAAATACTATAATATAATAACATTAAACAATAATATCAAATATTGTAATAGCATAAAACTTACAATAATAATATCACTTTAACATGTAGAAATGTAGCTTCTTCTTGACTACACTTTGATAGAACATTATTAAATTATAAAAGCCATTTTGTTCTCAAATACCTTAATATGAAGAGCATTTAAATCCCTGAAGATAATTTGGCTCATATGCCTTAAAGGTTGGGGGTGGGGGGGGGGTGGGGGAAATGGAATCAAAGACTAAGAAATGCCCCATTTAAACTAAGTGGAACACAGTCTTGGGAAAGAATTTTTCACTGACTTGGAAGTGGGGGAAATATATTTAGTTAACTGAGATTCAAGGCAGCTAAACTAAAAACCACTCTCTAAATCCATTCTTTTAATTCATTTTCAGGTCCTTATTCTATACATAGTTCTTAAGCGGATAGAGGGCAGATTCACATTTATGGGTTGCCAAAGTGAACACAAAATGTGAGGGGAGTACGTTTTCAAACACATCCAACGATCTCTCTCGCAGATAAAATAAATATGTTAATGGCTGGTTCTAAACAAACCCTAACACCTGGAACATGGCCATATAGCCCGAAAAACTTGCAGCAACCCAATCCTAACATATTGGGACCCACATTTAGTTGTACATAATTTTGAGAGATAAATTAAAAGTATCTCAATAAGAAAGCACCTAACCTTTAGCAAAGAAAGCTCAGTTTGTACATCTCGCAGTTCCACTTCTTTTTGTTCCAAGGCTAGGCTTAGAGTCTTTTCCCCTTCTTTCCATTTTTCTTCTTCTTCTTTAATTTTGCTTTCATTAAGTTCAAGTTGTTCAGACATTTTGCCAATACGGGCAAGAAGTTCTTGATTCTCACTCCTGACTTTTTCACTGCTGTGCTTTAATTCTTGGATATCTAGTTGGAGGGCTTCTTTTTCTGAGAGAGCCCCTTCTAACTCCTCTTTCAAAAGGCCTTTTTCCTTTTCATAGTCCTCCAGCAGAGATCTAAGCTCCATACAATGTGCTACATTTTCTTCTTGGAGCCTTTGCATCTCTTGCTGAAGAACAACATTTTCATCCTTCTGTGAAATCAGATTTTGTTCCTCCTGTTTCACATTTGTCAAGAATTTGTTTGCAGTTTCCAGTATGCCAAAAACATCCTCTCTGTCATTTTCCTCTGAGTATTTGGAACCCATCGTCTCAAGGAGACCATGCAACTGGTTTGTAACAAGTGATTTGAAGGCTTTTTCCTCCTCAAGTAATTTAGTCAAATGGTCTTTTTCTTCACATGCTGTTTGCAATTTCAATTCTAAGCTATCTGCTTTCTCTTTAAAAATTAGGTGTTCTGTTTTTTCAGATGCAAAGCTTTCCAATTCCTTGTCACATCTCTCTCTTTCTTCTTTTATTTTAGTATTTTCACCATGCAAAGCCTCTAATTCAGACAAGAGAGATTCTTTATCTTGCTGAAGAGCTTGAATGTGTTGTTCAAATTCCGCTAGCTTTTGTTGGTTCTTTTCTTGTTCCTCTGAAGTATTTTTCAGCTTTTCCATTAATTCTCCTGCCTGCTGCTCTAAGTCATGTTTACAAATATTAAGGGCCTCAGTTTGTTGTTGAAGTTCTATTACCCTTGCTTTCTCTAATTCGTATTTTTCACAAAGGTTTTTTATTTTTTCAGAAGAGCACTTCATTTCATCGAGGATATTACTGTTCTGTGTGGAAAGCTCCCTTTCCTTCTCTTCCAGTTCTTTTATAGAGGCATCTTTCTGCTGAAGAGAAGTGACATATTTCTCATTCTGTTCCTTAAATACTTCTATTTCATGCCTTAGTTCTTCTAGTTCTTCTCTTTTGGAGGAAAACTGTCCCACCTCTTCTTGGAGACGATTCACAGTTTCAAGAAGAGCATCCTTTTCATTGAAAGCCACTCTAAGCTTCTTCTGTAATTCATCAACATCAGATGCCTGCTGCTGCTTCATGGATTCAAACTCTTGGCTTATCTTCCCCGCCGATTCCCCCAACTCTGTTTGCAAACTCTCCAGAGTTTGTCGTAAACTCTCATAACTAGAAATTGCTTCTTCTTTCTCCTCTATGTGACTTTGGCACTGTTCTTTCAGATTTTGTATTTCAAGAAGTAAGGACTGATTCTCTGTCTGTAAAGTATAGGATACCGTTTCTTTAATCTCAGAGATATCTCGTCTATGCTTTTCAACCAATTCTTGGATTTCCAGACTGTTCTCTTTTACAGTTTTCTGATATTGTTCCCTAGCTGCTTGAAGCTCAGATTTTAGCTTCTCGGTTACACAACAGTGATCCTCTTTAGCAAGTTGGAGTTCATTAATTTTGAACTCTAAATCTTCCCGCTCATGAAAGTATTCATCCTTTGCATGTTGGAGTTCCACTTCCAGTTTCATTTTAACATTATTCATATAGGTCAATTCATCTCTTAGTATACTGTGTTGGGATCGCAATTCCTTTAAAGCATTTTCTAAGTGTTTGGTCTTTTCTGCTATCTCTGGTTCCGATTCCACAATTGTAGTCTCCATTTCTTCATCTTTAGCTAAAGTCTGCCTTATGTATTCCAGTTCACGGTCATACTTTTCCTTACAAGCATGCAATTCATCCTGCATGTCTTTCTCTTTTACTCTGTGCTCCTCTAATAAATCCTGCTTTAGTTGGCCTAATATGTTGCGCTCTTCTTCATATGCTTTAGCAGAGGTTTCAAACTGATGCTTCAGCTCTGACACCTCCTTCTGGTGAGCAGTCTTCAGTTTGTGGAGTTCTTCATCTAATTTCTTTATTTCATTTTGGTGACACTGGGAACTACTTTCAATAACATCTTGCAGTTTGGCAATTGCCTCTTCCTTACCCTCACTGGAAGCTTCCAGCTGTTTCTTTAGTTCCAGTATCTGCTCTTCATAGATGACTTTTGATTGATTCACCTCTTCCTGTAGTTTGTTCATTTCTTCATGTTTATTACTAGAACATTCAAGCTGTTCAGTGAGCTGCTCTTGTTTCTTCTGTCCTTCATGCAGCTCCTTTTGCAGTGAGGCTATAATTTCAGCATATTTTGACTGTGTTGTGACAATTTCATTTTTAAGGCTTTCAATTTCATTCAGGTAAACAGTGTTCCCTTGTGCAACTTGCTTCTGCATTTCTTCTTCCTTAGCCAGAGCAACCTAAGAATAAAATACATAGCAACGTGTCAAATTTGCCTATGCTCCAAAAACCTGCAAACTTGTATTAATCCAAAGTCTTAATTGTCCAGTTGAAATTATCTTATCCTTTTGCTGCCTTATAACCTCTGCACTTTACTCATTAGACCTACCTTTTTAATTGTTGTGCATTAGACTGTTTTCCTACAACAAAACTTGAATTATACTATTGGTTGTTTTTTCTGATGCTTGTTATATTGTTGCTTATGTTGTTTTGGGCTACTTTGGAAAGAAAGGAGGAAAGCAAAAGTAAATAGTGATAGGAGGAGATATGCCCATTTCCAGTGGTTAGCCAGAAGAGATAAGGAACTATTTTTAAATAAGCATGGAAGTGGAAGAAGACAACAGAATAGGAAGGACAAGAGACCTCTTCTAGAAAATTAGAAACACTGGAGGTAAATTTCAGGCAAAAATGGGCATGATAAGAAACAAAGATGGCAGGGACCTAACAGAAGCTGAAGAGATCAAGAGAAGGTGGCGAGACTATACAGAAGATCTGTATAGGAAGGATAATAATATCGAGGATAGTTTTGATGGTGTGGTGAGTGAATTAGAACCAGACATCCTGAGGAGTGAGGTGAAATGGGCCTTAGGAAGCATTGCTAACAACAAGGCAGCAGGAGATGACGGGATCCCAGCCGAACTGTTTAAAATCTTGAAAGATGATGCTGTCAAGGTGATGCATGCCATATGCCAGCAAATACGGAAAACACAAGAATGGCCATCAGACTGGAAAAAAATCAACTTATATCCCCATACCAAAAAAGGGAAATGCTAAAGACTGCTCAAACTTTCGCACAGTGCCCCTTATTTCTCATGCCAGTAAGGTAATGCTCAAGATCCTGCAAGGAAGACTCCAGCAATACATGGAGCGAGAGTTGCCAGATGTACAAGCTGGGTATAGAAAAGGCAGAGGAACGAGAGACCAAATTGCGAATATCCGCTGGATAATGGAGAAAGGCAGGGAGTTTCAGAAAAACATCTATTTCTGTTTTATTGACTATTCTACAGCCTTTAACTGTGTGGATCATAATAAATTGTGGCAAGTTCTTGGTGGGATGGGCATATCAAATCACTTTGTCTCTCTCCTGATGAATCTGTATAAGGGCCAAGTAGCAACAGTAATAACTGGCCATGGAACAACAGACTGATTCAAGTTTGGGAAAGGCGTACGGCAGGGTTGTATGCTCTCAACCAACCTATTCAACTTGTACGCAGAACACATCATGCGATGTGTGGGGCTTGAGGAATGCAAGGCTGGGGTGAAAATTGCTGGAAGAAACATTAACCTTAGATATGCAGATGATACCACTTTGATGGCCAAAAGTGAGGAGCTGAGGAGTCTTCTAATCAAGGTGAAAGAAGAAAGCGCAAAAGCTGGGCCACAGCTAAATATATATATAAAAAAACCAAGATTATGGCAACAAGAATGATTGACAACTGGGAAATAGAGGGAGAAAATGTGGAGGTTGTGACAGACTTTGTATTTCTAGGTGCAAAGATTACTGCAGACGCAGACAGCAGCCAGGAAATCAGGAGACGCTTATTTCTTGGGAAGAGAGCAATGTCCAATCTCGATAAAATAGTGAAGAGTAGAGACATCACACTGGCAACAAAGATCCGCATAGTTAAAGCAATGGTATTCCCCATAGTCACCTACGGATGTGAAAGCCGGACCTTAGGGAAGGCTGAGCAAAGGAAAATAGATGCTTTTGAACTGTTGTGTTGGAGGAGAGTTCCAAGAGTGACTTGGACAGCGAGAAGATCCAACCAGTCCATACTTCAGGAAATAAAGCCCAACTGCTAATTGGAGGGAAGGATAGTAGAAGCAAAGATGAAGTACTTTGGCCACATCATGAGAAGAAAGGAAAACTTAGAGAAGACAATTATGCTGGGGAAAGTGGAAGGAGGAAGGAAGAGGAGACAGCCAAGTGCAAGATGGATGGATGGCATCCTTGAAGTAACTGAATTGACCTTGAAGGAGTTGGGGGTGGTGATGGCCGACAGGGAGCTCTGGCATGGGCTGGTCAATGAGGTCATGAAGAGTCGGAAACAACTGAATGAATGAACAAAAACAGCATGTCATTTTTATACTGATGATTGTATTTTGTATATGTTATTTATTTTTTTTACTGTTTGTCAGGATCTGGCCCCATGTAAGCTGGCCCAAGTCCCTTTGGGGAGATGGAGGCTGGATGGAAAAATAAAGTTATTATTATTATTATTATTATTACTAAATGAAATTAAATATAATCAAGCTCACTGTGTAATACCATGTCACTGATGTAATAATCAAATGAAAAGGAAAGATAAAGAATTAGAATCAACCATAAGTGATCTATAAAAGTAAACTACATCAACAATATTTATGTGTTGTCAAAGGCTTTCATGACCGGAATCACTGGGTTGCTTTGAGTTTTCTGGGCTGTAAAACCATATTTCAGAAGTATTCTTTCCTGACGTTTCATCCACATCTATGGCAGACATCCTCAGAGGTTGTGAGTTGTGTTAGAAACTAGGCAAATGAGGTTTATATATCTGTGGGAGAAAGAACTCTTGTTTAATCAACTCTTAGCTGATCAAGGTGGCCAATTGCAACATTTACACTTGCCTCAAGCAGACAAGAGTTCTTTCTCCACCCTGGACATTCCAGATATAAAAACTCCACTTGCCTAGTTTCTAACAGACCTCACAACCTCTGAGGATGGGCAAGATGTCAGGAGAGAATGCTTCCAGAACATGGATATACAGCCCGGAAAACTCACAGCAACCCAACAATATCCTCTCATCCCAGCTGAAATATACTTTTTCTTCATTTAATTTCAAAATTTGCATTGGGGTTAATTTGAACATAGGTTTTCCAAAGGCTGTATTGGATTTCTGTTCATTGTGCATAAATAAAATTTGGCTGTTCCTCAAGTTATTCCATTTGCAAAACTGAGCATGCAATCTTTGAGCACTTTTTATATACTTTATTTCCAATGGCACCTCCTGTCTCGAAAGTATAGAATACCTAAAAGTGAAACACAGAGAACTTGAATTGAAAAAGCAGACAGAAAGAATTAAATCACATAATTAAGTGTTTTATTGTATCCACACTGTCTGAATCTTTCACGGGAATTATACCTGATCATGTTTCTTAGAAGGAGTAATGATTAGAATTTGCTATAAATGAATAGTGGTCCGGGACTATAAAGTGTAAACTGTTAAGTCCACCTGGGGATAGATTTATTTTCTATGGGATGGGTAGGGTCTACTTTTCAAAAAGTGGTGAAGGGCCATTTTTAGCAAGAGAGTAACAGTGTTCCCCTAGGTCCCTGTCATTTCCAAGGTGTCTTTGGAATGTAACAGACATAACTTTCTAAGTTATGTCTAAAGAAATATGCTCCAAGATATGAAATCCAGTAACCAGATTTAATCCTCCGTACTTAGAAGAAAACCTTCTGAAATTCACTGTTAAGCCTCAGTGCTCTTAGCTACATGGCACACCTTTCTTTCATTGGGAGCAGAAAGAGGAAGCCATTTGTATTACTCAAATTTCTGCCTTCCACTGAGAAAGGTGGAGAAGAAGGCACTGGGCAGTGGGTGGAAAGAAGAAGTGTGCTCCTGTTGACCAGCCCTCTCTTATTTGCCCAAGGGCTTAGGAGTGAGGAAAAGCTATGACACAGGGAGAGGGACAGTTTTGATCCCTGTGAACATAGGAACTGAAGGAAAAGTAACATTTTCTGCCTGTGACAACATGCCAGGATCAAATCAGATTTTAGAAACATTTCATATACTTATAAGATACCTCTGCTTCTTGTTGTCTTTTCACATTCTCTTTTTTAAGAGCGAGACACTGTTGCTGAATTTCTGCTTTTTCCAGAAGAACTTCATCCAGTCTCTCTGTGAGAGCCTAATTTTGAAAAGGATCGATACAAAAAAGTGAAAGAGTTGGTATACTCCTTGAAATATAACTTTACTATCCTTTCAAGACCTCTGCTTCCTGTGTACATCCAAATACTACTCGAAAAACAAACTGAGCTTTTTTACTCACATCTATCCCTTGATCCTTAAGATTTATTGGCATTAATATCACGCAGACATGTCTTTTATTTCTAATTATTATCACTCATTTCCCTATAAATCTTTTTAAATAACCCTGAAAAATAAATTATAACTTAACTATTAGGTATTATTTGGTTCTAGGTGACTTTGGCATTTCCATCAAATATGGGACATCCAGTAAAAACATGGTGAGAAATGATAACCATTTGCCAGGATGCTCATAGGATAAGCCAGATTTGCTTCTTGACCTTGCATTTGGTATGTCATATCAGTCAAGGGAAGGTGAAAGCTCAAGAGAACATTTAAAAGCTTACTTGTAACACTAAGCTGGGTTTAACACAGAAGAGCCACTCATATGATATTTTCCAAATTAAGAAGTCATATTTGCATCACTTTTAGCAATACTTTGGCTGTATTGAGTTGAGTGCCTTAAAATAACAAGACAATCCTCCAGACACATTTTGACTGAAAAGTCAAAAGTTGGGGTGGGGTGACTTGATGGATCTGTGGGACAGTTCCATCAAGTTCCCATATCAGAGCACTTTAATTAGTAGGGAAATGAGTTATGTGCCAAATGACACACACACAGATGTTATTTGGCCATGTGGGAACAATGCATTCCTGGGGATTAAAAATTCTTTATATACAAATTATATATTCCTACCTGTATAACATCATCAGTTCCTCCTACAGATTTTGTTTTCAGCTCTTCAATCTCTTTCTCTAATTCTGGGAAGGAAAAAGATTATATATCTCCAAGTATGGATAATATATTCATAACAATACCTACTTTTTCTGTGTTAGTACTCATTCTATACAACTAATTCATTTTTAGAATTATCAGTTACATGCCCAAGATGTAAGTACACCTAGAGTTTTGAAGGATGATTCCTTATTACTGTTTTTATTTGTTGTAGTTAATGCAATTCATGGTTCCTTTGAATCTGCCCCACCCCACCCCACCCCAGACCCATGGATCCTTTCACACTGCTCCAAAATATACTAAAACTAGTTCCTGTATTGTACCTGTGCATCTTGACTTCACTTTCTGTATTAACACCACTTGCTTCTTTGCAAATTTTATAAGATCTTCCTTGGGCAGAGTGTCCAGCTGGAAAATTAAAGAATGGTTGTTCAATTTATAATTAACAACTCGGAGTAGCACATCAAATTACTTTTAAGGCTCTGCTCTTCAGGAAATACTTTGTCAGTAGAAACCCATACATTTCCATTGTGTTCCAACCTGTAAGTAACACTTAACAACATGCAATTGCTTTTATGGTATAGCCACTACCTTCCCTGTATTAACTGAAACAAGCCCCTGAGAAAAATAAATGTATATTTTATTTTGCCTCTACATGCCTTTCTAAGGCATGGGAATGCAATTTAACATGTTTTGCTTGCTCAGGTAGGGGAAAGGACAAGACCTTTTACAAAAAGAAGAGACTGGAAAATAACCTTCCATCCACCTTCTGTTGGAAAAAAGTCTTCTCCTGGACCTAAAATGGTCCAGGCAGGATGCGAAATGAGGCAAAATTATTTCACCCTGCACTGGATGTATTTTGATACACATAATGTTTATCTTTTCACTTTTTTGAGAGGGTGAACATGTACACACCCTCTTGGGAACCGGTGCAGTCCCCTAACTCAGAACGGCTGCTCCTCTTTAATACAGGAAATTAGCCCTGAAAAATACTATAGGGTTGTGTATCTGTTCCTGTCACTTTGGCATCTTAGCTGACTATTTAGGTACTTTAAAGTTTAAGAAGGCACCCTAGCTAGCCCTACCTGCATCTATTATGGGAAAAAATAATCCTGGTCCAGCAAAGAGAAGGACTTGTTGCCCTTTTCTCACAAATCCAGTTCCTAATTCTTGGGCAATTATGGGCAGGAGTAAGCTATACAGATTATTCAGTACCATAACAAGTGAGTTGAAGTTGCCATTATTTTAGAAAGATTCAACCATACTGAAATAGTTTAGTTTCTGATCTAAATGCCTAATTTTTAAGCCTGCCAAACTGATAAAACGTTTAAAGCAGCTTGCATTTTAGATTACAGAACAAGCAACAAGGAAATGGAAAGCCAAATATTTGAATCAATGAAACCAAAGGTTTCCCACAAGACTGATTGGCATGCTTGCTTTCAATCACAGCTGCCAACTGTACTTGCCAAACAAACCCTTGATGTAGTCAACCATGACTTTTTAAATGACTAGAACAACTTTGTTTAATGCTAATAACACAAAATTAACACCTGGGTGTGAAAATGGGTCATTTTCTGAAATCAGTCTACAGAAGAAACATTCTTTTGAAAAACGTTAAGTTACTACTACTGATATCAGTAAATAAACCTTACCTTTGATTTCCCTGGTGTAATTGTGGCTGAAGAGGCTGGCATTTCTTGACCACCATCTTGCAGCTAGAACAAAACAATAGTTTTATATAAAAGCCTGTCACACTAGATGTTTTGCTTTTGCAAATCTTCACTATGTTTACATGTGACCCATGAACTTCAGTAGGCATGCAACAATGAAGCCATGATTTAAAAAAGTATTACCACAACAGCTAAAAATAACTAATTGTTTTAAAAACATGTTCATAATAGAATTGCTACTTTATTCCTAAAGCCTGGTAGAATGAAATTCTAGTTGCTGCACAATCCTATCTTATATTTATTTAGAAGTAGTTTTATTTCCTGTGAAATTAATAGTGATTTTCAATCTTACAGTACAATTCTGAGACTACCAGGGAAACAGTATGCTACAGAAAAGACAGGCACATGTCAGATGAAGGCATTCTTACCAGTTAGCAATTTGCTAACTATCCAATCTGACATCTGTTGAGGGGCTCTATTTTGCATCAGACTGAAAGGGTTAACCACATTTGGATGTAGTGATAAACCAAGCTTTTATTGTGATTTTCCTGCTTCTTGGCAGAGGGTTGGATTGGATGGCCTACGAGGTCTCTCCTAACTCTATGATTCTACTGTGATAGGGATAAATCTAGCCTTCTTCTATCCAGAGGTGACAAGTTTCCTTTCATTTTCTAGATACTAGGAGGTGTTCGTACATTTCTGCTTCTATTTTAGAGTAATCATAATGTAGTGGATTGCTTGGCACCTGAACTGATTAATCTTAATAATGGTCTGTTGAAATAAACAAAGAACATCTTCATATCTCACACTTTCAAGCTGGTTAGTTCCAAATAAACCCAATTCCAATCAGCCAGCTTGTCAGGTTCAGGTTAAATGATATACCAAAATTAATCTAAATCAGAAGTGAACACTTTCAAAGTTTTCAAAGATGTAGAGAAAGACTTTGCAAAGGTAGAAGGTCTATTTCCGTCACAACACACCATGGCTGAGTAGCAGGTGATATGTCAGTATAGTTGTGACACACGAAATCACAATATCAGACTACATGAGTAGCTTCACATTGGGATTAAACAGCTTGGGAGGCAGAAAAATGAACGAATCAAAGGAACAACAATTTACCTAGGCAGGCTTTCTAACAGACAGAATGCTAATTCAAAAACACGACCCCCAAAATACTTTTGACCTCTGGTAACCTGATCATAAAATGTTATCCCTATAATTTTTACTCACTGGATTTTATTTTTTGTGCTTAATTTTCTCTTCAATGATAATAAACTATCATATAGTCTACTTACATTTCAGCATCTCAACATTGAAGTTGAAAGGGCAGGAATCAACATTGTATAATATTTATGAACAGGGTAATTCCATATCCACACCCTGCAAGCTACTATTATGAATAATTCAAACTGTTACTTAGCTACCATAAAGATAAATTATTTTAATGTTTGATTTTCACATGTATGAGGTTGTTGCTAAAGCAAAAACAACTGATCAGTTAAGAAGCCAATAATTTTAAGTATTCCATATATGTGATTTACAGAACACCTCTACACAGATGTAAGCCTCTCTTAGCAGTGGCTGTTGAAGTCATCAGACACAGGATTTTTGCCTACATTTTAGACACAATTGGAAGTGTCAAACCTGTCATCAAGGGCCAGTGAAAACAGGGAATACTGTCATTCCCAAGGTCCCAAAGCTTGGGATCAAGTGAATAACCACAATAACTGTGCAGTGAAATGGTCTGTGTATTGTATTTCTGCTTTATCTATTTAAAAGTGCAAGAGGCCAGCAGGAAGAGCAGAGCACGTTTCACCCAGTTTTTCCTTCCTGTAGTTTGCTGTTTAAATAAGTAAATAAACTTTATTTATACTTCACCACCATCTCCCTGACGGGGACTTGGGCGGCTTACATGAGGCCAAGCCCAGAAGTGCACTTCAATACAGTAAAATAAAAAGCATAAAGCAAACATTACAGTAAAATAAAATAAATCAAGCATAAAATATAATAAACAGTGCAAAGTAATACAATAGAAAATCAAACACAAGCACAATGAATGGGCCACATGTGCAAGATACAATGATAAAAACTCAAGATGAGATAAAAATAAAAACCTATATATCTGTAAGGGAGACTCATCAACCGAGTGGTAGAGACAGTCCTTCATTTGGACAAGAGACAATGCAATATGAGGACACACATTATAGGGGAGCATGACAAGGGAGATGTAAGATCAGTCTCCAAAAGCACAATGGAAAAGCCATGTTTTGAGGTTCTTCAAGGTTTCTAAGGTGGGGAGTAGCCTAATCTCACTGGGCAATGGGTTCCAGAGTTAGGGGGGCCACTATGGAGAAAGCTCTCTCCCTCGTTCCCACAAGTCAGGTTTGTGATAATGGAGGGGGCGAAAGGTATGGATCTGCTTTTGCGCAGTACTTTTAACCATACTAGTAGGATGAGTCAGGGGTGTGTGTGTGGGAAACAATATTCATAATTTTTATTGTAAGGGGGAGACTTGAGAAACTGCAAGTCATATTATTATTATTATTATTATTATTATTATTATTATTATTATTATGGTGTGAGAGAATTGGCCATCTGCAAGTACATTGCCCAGGGGACGCCCAGATGCTGTACCATTCTGGGAGGCTTCTCTTATGTCCCCACATGAGAAGCTGGAGCTGACAGATGGGAGCTCACATCGCTCCCCAGATTCAAACCACTGGCCTTTTGGTCAGCAGTCGTGATGGCACAAGGGTTTAACACATTGCACCACTGGCGGCTCCTCAATACTCATAATGAATGGCCATGAATTCAGGCTTGCTGTTGCTGTGTGCACCATTATGTCCTTTCAGACTAATGGTGACCCTAAAGTGACTCTACCAAGGGTTTTCTTGGCAAGAATTGTAATGGGATTTCTGAGGCAAAGAGTGTGATTTGTCCAGGGAGGGAGGATTTCCATGGTAGAGGATTTGAACTCAGGTCTCCAGAGCTGTAGTCCATTATGCCAATTAGCATTTGGTATTGGATGTCAAAACCAATCTAGAATCTTAAGGTGCATCTATACTGTAACATTAATATAGTTTGACACCACTTTAACTGCCATGGCTCCATGGAAATGAAATCCTGGGAGTTGTAGTTTGGTAAGGCACCAGCCCTCTTTGGCAGACAAGGCTGAAGGCTCCTAGGAGTCCACAGCATGGAGCCAGGGCAGATAAAGTGGTGTCAAACTGCTTTCATTCTACAGTGGGCCTCCTCCCCGCCTCAGGCAACGCAAATGCGGGTCAGCTCCAAGTGGCGGAGCCCCCTCGCTCGAAGTCAGGAGTGAAAGGCGACTACACTGCTTCAGACCCGGGTCAACCTGTCCACACGGCAGCCCAGAGCCCTCAGCCCCTGCTTCCCTCGTCACCCGGTCCGGTTACCTCCATCGCGGGGCAGAGAGGCACGAATGGAAGAAGGCTCCCTCAGCGCATCTTCTTGCAGCAATTCATAGGCACCACTTCCGCCTTCGTCACTGCCCCTCCGCGCCCACCTCTGACGTCAATGAAGGCGCTCTCCACTTGCGATAGCGTTGCCATGACCACCCGTTCAGGAAACGCCTTCCCGAGAGCAGCGCCCTCCTTCAAGCCACGCCCCTCGCGCGCGGGGTTCTGTGATTGGTGGAGACGGGGAAGCAGCGCGGTCAGGGCAAAATCATCGCTGGGATGTTTTCCTTTGCGGCATTACGCTGCCTCTCCCGTCTAATCTCGGAAGCTAAGCAGGTTCAGCCCTGGGGAACGCCTGGATGGGAGACTACCAGCTGATACCAGCTTTTTCAGAGGAAAAAAATGGCACAATCTCCTCCGAGTATTCCTTACACATAAATATTATGAAATTATGGAGTTGCCATAAATCAGTAAGCGATTTAAAGGCACAGACACACAAACGTATTTTCTTCCATATGTTGGGAAACACATATTTACTCTGTTGAATAACAAAATGTGATAGTGATCGCGTTGAATAAGCACTTTATTGTTGTGTGCCTTTAAATTATTTCGAGCTATGATGATGCCGTCGCATTGCCTTCCCTGAGGCTGAGAGAGTGTGACCTGCTCAGGATCACCCAGTGGACTTCTATGGCTGAGCAGGGATTTGAACCCAGGTCCCAATAGTCAGTTACACCGCACTGGTTTATCTAACTAGGTATTATATGTGGTGCAGTGGGTTAAAGCACTGAGCTGCTGAACTTGCTGACCGAAAGGTTCATATCCTGCTGTTAGCTCCAGCTCCTGCCAACTGAGCAGTTCTAAAACATGCAAATGTGAGTAGATCAATAGTACCGCTTCGGCAGGATGGTAATGGCGCTCCATGCAGTCATGCCAGCCACATGACCTTGGAGGTGTCTACCGACAACGCCGGCTCTTCGGCTTAGAAATGGAGATGAACACCAATCCCCAGAGTTGGACATGACTGGACTTAATGTCAGGGGAAAACCTTTACCTTTACCTATTGTTATAATGATTTGTTCATTTGATAGATGTGTGTATGGCATCAAATTGCTGCTTGTTGTAAGACCACCTTGAGTCAGTCTCCTTCGGGGTGAGAAAGGCAGGATATAAAAATAAATAAATAAAGCAGATAATCTGGGATCAAATCCTGGGATATAGCTCAGTGTAGATCCCGCCAGAAGGCCCTTCTACACAGCTCTATATCCCACAATATCAAGGCAGAAAATCTCACATTATCTGAGTGTAGACCTTCAGATAACCCAGTTCAAAGCAGATATTGTGGGATTTTCTGCCTTGATATTCTGGGATATAGGGCTGTGTGGAAGGGCCCTTAGTTACCTGTTATCCACTCCTCTCTCTTATTTAATAACTCTACCACTGATTGCCTTAACCTCTGGATACCTCTGAAATAATTTTCTAGAACACCTTGACGGTTGTGTGTGGTGTGTGGTGTGTGTGTTTCTGCATTTTGTAAACCGCCCTGAGTCCTCTGTGGGGTTGAGAAGGACAGGATATAAATGCAGTAAATAAAATAATAATAAATAAATATAGTAACTTTTGTACTGATTGTGTATTATTCAGTTAATGCTGGAAATGTTTAGCTTTCCATTTTTAATCCTAAAGGGGTTCAACCTGAATAAAATCTGGAAAATGCTGAATAAAATCAGATATCAGGCACTGCAGACTACTTCAACCAGAGAAGTCGGCCAGAGCAGAGCACCTGATGAACCAACCTGGACACAGCATATTATTTGAGAACACAGAAATGCTGGACCACACTCACAACCACCATGTCAGACTACACAGAGAAGTCATTGAAATCCACAAGCATGTGGACAATTTCAACAGAAAGGAATAAACCATGAAAATGAACAAAATCTGGCTACATGTATTAAAAAACTCTAAAATTACAACAGCAAAACAACAGAGAGGAAACAATCAAGGACATCTAATCACCTCTCAACAAAAGATTGCACCAGGCACTAACAAACCACACACAAAAAAAAACTGCCAGGCCATAAAATGCTAATCAAGGTGGTCAGTTGAAACATTCACACCTAGCTCCAACAGACAAGAGTTCTTTGTCCCACCCTGGTCATTCCACAGATATATAAACCCAATTTTCCTAGTTCCAACAGACCTCACAACCTCTGAGGATGCTTGCCATAGATGCAGGCAAAACGTCAGGAGAGAATGCCTCTAGAACAGGGGTCCTCAAACTTTTTAAACAGAGGGCCAGGTCACAGTCCCTCAAACTGTTGGAGGGCCGGATTGTAATTTGGAAAAAACATGAATGAATTCCAATGCACACTGCACATATCTTTTTCGTAGTGCAAAAAACACTTAAAAACAATGCAATAATTAAAATGAAGAACAATTTCAACAAACATAAAATTATTAGTATTTCAATGAGAAGTGTGGGCCTACTTTTGGCTGATGAGATAGGATTGTTGTTATTGTTGTGTGCTTTCAAGCCATTTCAGACTTAGGTTGACCCTGAGCGAGGGCTGGGTAAATGACCTTGGAGGGCCGCATCCGGCCCCCAGGCCATAGTTTGAGGGCCCCTGCTCTAGAACATGGCCATATAGCCCGAAAAAACCTACAACAACCCAATCATAAATCTCCATTGGAACCAGCAAGCTTCATCAGAAATGTACCATTTTTTACTGAAGTGAGATTTTTTTCTATGTAGCTCGAATTGTTGGCTGCTGTCAGTTTTAGAAATATATACTTTTCTCAAAACATATTTCCTTGTCAGGATACAGGATGATGAAGAAAACAAAATGAGTACTTTTGAGAACCTTAGACAGATGGCTATGTATAAGATTAATAAGACTCAGAGCTACAGTCAATCTTTGTATTATGTTTGGACTATAGAATAGCCAGAGAAACCAGGGGAAAATGATTAAAAGTCCAATCATACTGAGGTATAAATAGTAATATTCCTGTACCTTTGTATTATGTAAAGAAAAGTGAGGGTGGGGGTTGACGGGTTGGAATGGGGAGGTGGTGGGAAATAATACTTGTATTTTGTTTAGGTTCTTGTGGGTTTTTTCGGGCTATAGAGCCATGTTCTAGAGGCATTTCTCCTGACGTTTCGCCTGCATCTATGGCAAGCATCCTCAGAGGTTGAGAAGGTCCTTCTCAACCTCTGAGGATGCTTGCCATAGATGCAGGCGAAACGTCAGGAGAAATGCCTCTAGAACATGGCTCTATAGCCCGAAAAAACCCACAAGAACCTAGTGATTCCAGCCATGAAAGCCTTCGACAATGTATTTTGATTGTTGAATTTTGAAGATTGTATGTTTCTCTCTCTCTCTCTCTCTCTCTCTCTCTCTGTGTGTGTGTGTGTGTATTACAATAAAAATCTATAAAAATGTATTTCCTTGTCTGAAAAACATAATCCAGCTACCCCCTTAAAAAAGGAAAACGTCTTGCCTGTTGGCTTATTTATAAGCTTTAGTATTGATACAGAGCAATTGGCAAATGGGATATTTGGTGCACAGGTTAAGAAGCCCTGGTTTATTCCTTATGGGACATATTCCACTGAACATAATGTACTATATAATCTCTATAAAGGCATAGAGATTATATGGTATTGATCTGTATGGCTTCTTCAAATTTTCTTTGGGCTGCTGAGGATCAGGATGTTCTCTTCCTATTACCCTCTGAGGCTGGATTACTATTGGCTGCTTCTCTCTTCCAATCCTCTAAATGTGGGCTATAAGTTCCTTTGGACAGGGATGGTCATATTCTCTTATATCACTCTGAATTCCCTAAAGAGATTACAGTCCAAATTCAGTGGATGGGAAGGAGAGGAAAAGGGGGAGACACGTTTTCTAACTAAATTATTGCCATCAAGATATTGGTTCATTCCTAATAAGGGGCAAACATGATTTATTCCAAACCAAGTTAGGTAAGATTAATTTGTCACTGTTGCCTAATAGCTTTTGTCAGATTCTCAGTGCGGTCCCTCACCTTCTCCCTCACCACCAAAAGGTTAAGAACGACTGGAGTAAACATTCCTTTTCATGTAAATATTGCCTGATACCATTTGGCATTTATCCTTTTTTTAAAAATGCACAAAGTTTTTTTTCATTAACAGCATGTTAGTATTCGACACTACAGTGTATCATTTCCTTCCAGTGCCCTTCAGATCAATAACAAACTTTTGTCTTAATATTGTCATCAAATCTCAGCACTTTGTCTGGAACATCCAAAGTCATCCCAGTTCTACATTTATTTATTTTTAGATGTTTATGTTTTCAAAATGTCCTATTGCTTTCAATTCCCACAAGAAGCCTTGCAAACTGCCTTCTACCTATTTCAGAAGACATCCTCCCAGAATCCCAGGGAGGCTTCTGCCACTCCAGAGGAACAGTGGACATGACCTTCACTGCCTGACAGCTCCAATATAAATCCAGGGAACAAAACCAACCTCTGTACATGGCATTCATTTATCTCAGTGCTCTCTGGACCATCCTCCAAAAAATTGGATGCCCTCACAAATTTGTGAATATCCTGCAACTCCTCCTTGATGACATGATGGCAACAGTCTTGGACAGCAATGGCTCCCAAAGTGACCCATTTAGGTGGAATCAGATGTCAAACAGGGAGGTGTTATTGCCCAAACCTTATTTTTCATCTTAATTGCTATGATACTGCACCTTGTTATCTACTTATACATGTTTTATTTGTTTATTATTGTTATTATTATACCTTATTTCCTCTCTTCCCCTTACTCATATTTTGTGCCCCCAAGATAAGGCATGTGTAGTAGAGGTATATGTAGTACAAGTTGTAATAAAAAGTTTAAAATTGATATACTTAAAGATGTGTTTGGTTTTTTCCCCCTTTTACTGTTGAATTGTATACAATATGGCATGCTCTCTTGTCTAAAGTATTGTGGAAAGAGGAAATAATGTATACTTATACATTTTTATTGATATAAAAATTGTATATAAAAAAGATGCTGCACCTTGTTGATGGGAAGCTTCCTACTGGTATGGAAATCATCTGTTGGACATATGGCAAGTTATTTAACCTCAGCAGGAA